TATTTTAAGTCAGGGTCTCATCAAGTTGCTGAGGCTGGCCTTGAGCTTATGATCCTCCTGCCTCAGCCTCCTGGGTAGTGGGGATCCTGACGCAGTGTATTTCTTTTTTTAATACTTTTTTTAGTTGTCCATGGACCTTTATCTATCTATCTATCTATCTATCTATCTATCTATAGAAATGGTGCTTAGACCCAAACCCAGTGCCTTGCACATGCTATGCAAGTCCTGTGCCCCTCAGCCACACCCCCAGCCTGACACTGTGTATTTCTAAAGCAGGAAAAACAAAAGGTCCTGGGAGAAGGTCCATGTGGACACACCTTGGGTGCTCTGATGCCGCAGTCTGGCTGGGCACACAATCACGAGCCACCACACAGCTTGTAGATTCAAACAGCAACTCTTTATTCCCGAACTCACACCAGCCGTCTACAATCACGTTCTGGGGAAATCCACGTTCTCTGCCCAAATCCACGTTCTCTGCCCAAATCCACCTCCACTGGGCTTCTATCTCCAAAATATACTGTCTGAATCCCGTGAGAACTCAAGGGGAACTCAGGCAGCAGGATACGCCCTATTCCCAGCAGGAATAATCTTAAACCTTAAACCTGGAACCTAAACTGGGAATGCCCTAAACACGATTATCTTAAAACCGGGAACACCCTAATCTGCCTTGGTCCTTGAGCAAGGTCACGTACATTCAATGTCACTGCAACATGGGGTACGCTGGCAAGGAAATTGTCATACCTACTTGGCTAATGGCTCCCAGCACTCTGAGACAACACAGAGGGCAGGTCAGCACCAGGAGACGGGAATACCAGCCGGGTGTGTGGCTTGTGCCCTTGCTACCTTCCTCTCCACACCCCTTTGCAGTGTCCACACTCCTGAGTGGCCTCTGAGACCCCTCTCCTGCACTGGTGGGCGAGGACGCGGTTCCAGTTGTTCCCCCTCGGCTGCGTTCCCAGGCTCACCCAAAGCCACCCTGGGGGAGACGGTGCTGAGTGCCTCTGGACATAGGAGCGCACCTGCAGGCTGACCAGCCCTGTCCTCTGTCAGTCAAACAGACCTCATGTGCCTTCCTGGAGCAAGGACACACCCAGGTGGGTCCAGAGGGCCAGTGTGCCCCGAGCATTCCTAGGGTCCCAATGTCTGGGCTGAAGCACATGGTGTGCCCGCTTGGCAGGGTGGCCCCTGGCCAGTCCCCCACCCTCTGTACAGCCCTCCAGACTGAAAGCCTTGCACGCAGCGGTGGGTGCTGAGCTCCTGCTCCCTGATGACACCTTGGCATGGGATGAACTTGTCATGTGCTCAGCTCAGGAGGACAGCCAGGGAGGAGGCCACAGGCCCTGGACCGCAGCCCAGGCATGGGAGAAAGGACGCTGGGCTCCAGAACGTGGCCGGGAGCACGGGCTCCAAGGCACCAGGAGGTGCTGTGTGGCCCTGGGCAGGCTCTCCTCGCCCCCAGCTGAGCGGACGGCCAGTGTGAGTGAGCGGGAGGCCATGCAGCCTGCAGACATGGGGCCAGGCAGCTCTGGACCCGCCCTGGAGCCTTCTCTGGGCCACGACTCCACTCACTTGCCTGCTGGCTATTGCCTTAGTCAGGGCTGGGAGGTCCACCTTGCAGGTAGCCCAGGCCTTCCTGGTCCAGTGGTGGACAAACTGTGGCCAGCACGACTCTGGACAGTGGAGCCAGTGGTGTGGAGGTGACAGCCCAGAGAGGGATGTTAGAGGGTGGGCAGACTGAGCAAGGCTTTGCAGGATTAGTAGGAGTTGGGCAGCGACAGTCGGCAGGGTTTGAAGCCCTAGAGCTCAGAGAGCTCTGTGGGTCGTAGGTAAGGATGGTTCATCGTTGAGTCTAAGATTAAAGATTTAGTGCTGTTTGGTGCCGGAATCGAACACAAGGGCACTTTACACTGAGCTACCTCCCCAGCCCTCTCTTTCTTTCATTCTTTAATATTTTTTTAGTTGTCGTTGAACACAGTGCCTTTGCTTTATTTATTTATCTTTATGTGGTGCCGAGGATGGAACCCAGGGCCTCGCATGTGCTAGGCAAGTGCTCTACCACTGAGCCGCAACCCCAGCCCAGCCCCAGCCCCAGCCTTTTCTAAGTTTTTATTTTGAGACAGGACCTCCCTGATGCTGAGGATCTTGCCACGTTTCTGAGGCTGGCCTGGACCTTGTGATCCTCCTGCCTTAGCTACTGGAGTCCCTAGGATTACTGGTGTCTCTCACAGCGCCTGGCCTGAAGCCATTGATTTAGAAGCACCCACATTGCCAACATGGGGTAGGACCAATGGATTCTGGGAGTTGATACCATGGCTTCCAGCTAGTACAATATTGTCACAGACCAGAAACAGGAAGCCCAGTGACCTCCTTCAACACCGTCAGCACCTCCTTGAGCGCCAGGCGCAGGGGCACAGCTTAGTGCTAGGGCAGCTCCTGACATGTATGAGGCCCTGGGTTCCAGACCCAGAACCACACACACACATACGTATTTACTGAACACCAACACTGGGCCAGGCACAGCACTGGGCAGGGACAGGGCCATGAGTCAGGACCAGATGGTCTCCAAACTGCCATGCGTGGTGAGGGCTCTGAGGGTGGGAGGCTCCTGTTTTTTAAAATTAATAAAAACATATTTTGCATGGGGGAAAAAACCTGGAGGGATAAGTATCAAAATGTTGGTAGTGTTTATGTCTGGATGCTGGAATTTTTGCTTTTATCTGCTTATCCGCATTTTTTAATATTTCATTTATCATTATTTTTTTAGTTTTAGGTGGACACAATTTCTATATTTTATTTCTGTGTGGTGCTGAGGATTGAACCCAGTGTCTCATGCATGCTAGGCAAGCGCTCTACCAGGGAGCCACAGCCCTAGCCTTTATACAACAGTAATAAAATATACATGAAGGGGGTGCTCATGTCCGGCCTCTGATCCTGCAGAGAACCTCCAGGGACCCAGGTCAGGAGCAGGAAGGGAGCTGGAGGGAGGCTGGGGTCGAGGTGGGCCCTGCTGTCTGCCCTCCCTGGCTCTGGGTGGTGTGGGCTGGCAGTGAGGAGGGGCGGGGCCAGGCATCAAGGACTGGGGGAGACCCTGCTCTCCCCACAGGTTCTCTCCTTTGGTGCCAGCTGTGGCCCAGGCTGCCCAGGGACCTCCCAGCTATGGTGGGAGCCCTGTGTGTGCCTACACTCTGGACTCAGAGACGGGGAGATTCCAGCTCTTTGACTCTCCTGTCCTCCTGTCTGGGGAAGTGCCACCTGGTACTCCACGGTGCTGCCCTGTAGCAGTGAAGAGCTGACAGAGGCCTGAGTCAAGCCCTGTGCCCTCAGAAGGACAGCGACCAGGTGCACAGCTGATGGCTCCAGCCCCTCGCCTTCTGCAGAGGGTTCGGAGGTTGGTGGCCCGGCACCCTAGCCAGCTGCTCCGCTGGGCTCATGCTGGGCTGGTGTCTGAGTGCAGCGGATGCTTCCTGGAGATGTTGTGCGGGGAGGAAGGGCCTGCGGGGAGGCCCAGAGACCTGCTGGCCGCTGTGGGTCCTGCGGGGAGCAGGGCGTCCCTCATTCCCATGGAATGCTGGGAGGCTTCCCGGGGTCATGTGCCCAGGAAAGCTGGCCTGGGAGGGCCTGGAACCCCTGCCACCAGAGTCACCCTCAGGCACACAAGCACAGCTAGGTACTGAAGCCCTGGCACCGGGAGCCTCGGGAAGTGGGACCGGGAAGATGAAGAGCAGTAGGGCCGGCTCTGCGCAGCCAGCCTACTTGGATCGGGAAGAGCAGGGAGGCCTGGGCAGCAGGAGGAGGTGGGCACCAGATGGGGCTAGCATCTCTGCTGCTCCTGACCCCACCCGTGACCCGCGGATTGGAAGGTGCCAGCCAAGGCGCTTCCTTGGCAAACCGGGTAGGCGCCCGCAGAGTGCAAGGTGTCCTCGTGGTCCCTCTTCAGAGGGCTGGCTGCCTTCTGCTGTTCTTGGCTGCCCCTCTGACCTCAGGATCTTCCTCTGGAGTCCTGGTTGCTGAGGCTGAGCCCTGAGCTCCCCTGATCCTCCCTCCCCTTCGCTCTTGCTCTTCACATCTTGCCTACCTCTTCCCTCTGCCCCTCCCCGCCCTGCCCCCCATGGCTTTTGGCCAGTTCTGTGCCTTAACTTTATTCAGAAATTGGCAAAGTGAATGAGCTGGAAGGCAATCTGTCTCGTCCAACAACTCCTCTTTCGAGCTGCTTCCTCTGCCAGGGAGGAGTGGTGGTGGGCAGAAGGGAGAGAATGCAGCCTAGGCCCGGAAGCCCAGCTCTGCTCTCCTCCAGCAGCGGGACAGTTCGTGCGGGATCTGGAGCAGGTAGGTGGCCAGGGACCTTCGTGGTCGGACTGTGACCCTCAGTCCAACATCTCCAGCTGGTGAGGGGATCTGCCCGCCCCCAGAGCTCTGCTTCCTGCCTCCAGCCCCAGGCAGCGAGGTGCCTGGCACACAGTAGGCGTCCCCTAACTACCTGTGGTTTCAGGTGGGTGTCACCGAGTCTGGCGCTCCCAGGAGGAACGCAGGGATTCAGTGCAGTGGCGGCGGCGGCGGGGGGGAGGGGGGGCGGCCCGTCCTCCCGGGGGCTGCTTGCACGGACCGGGCGCCCGTGGGGCAGCTCGAAGCCCCCCCCCCCCGCTCCCAGCAGGAGTACCCAGCAGGGGGGTGCGCACTGCGGAGGGCGCGCTCCATCGCGGCGCACAGCTACCAGCCGAGGTCCTGGAGGTTGGATCCTAGGGCTCCGAGGGGACGCCCTCCTCGACCACCGACTCCAGGGGCCACCCGTCCCCTTCACTGCCCCCTCCTCCCCGCCGCTGCACAGATTCCTCCAATGCCCCTCCCCTGTCCCCTCTGTCCCGCCCTTTCCCCGCCCCCTCCACTGGCCCTCTCCCCATCCACTGCCCCTCCACCGGGCCGGCCACGTACAGCCCCGCCATCCCCGCGCGGTGGCTGCCGCCCGCGCCACGTGTGCCCGCGCCACGCGGCGTGCAGGGAAGCGCGGTCACGCCTGGCCGGGCCACCATTTCCCGGTCGCCACGGCGTCGCGGACTCCCCAGCAGCGGCTCCTGAGCCCACCTGGTCCGAGGTGCCCCGCAGGCAGCCATGAGCGGGTGCACAGATCGCGGGGCGGTCGCAGCCCCGGCTCCGGCCCCAGGGTCGGTGCCTGCACCCTGCGCCTCGAAGGTGGAGCTGCGGCTCAGCTGCCGGCACCTGCTGGACAGAGACCCATTGACCAAGTCCGACCCCAGCGTGGTGCTGCTGCAGCAAGCGCAGAACCAGTGGGTGCAGGTAGGGCGGGCCGCGGGGGTCTGGCTGGCCCAGAACCCTGGAGCTGGGACACAGAGACCCAAGCGGGTGGCCTGAAGCTTGCAGGGTGCAGGGCAGAGGCATCTGGAGCTGGGGCTGAGCTCAGCATCCAGGTGGGGCTCACAGGTCTAGAGTGGGGGTGCCCAGGAGTCGGGGTGCATCTCAGTGTCCTGGGTTGGGGGTCTTGGGGTCAGAGTGAGGCACTCAGCTTGCATGCCTAAGAGGCACAGAAAGGAGTAGGGTGCAGGAGTGAGGGAGCTTCCCCAGGCTGGGCTGGTTGGGGTGCAGCTGTCCGGTAGCCAAGAATGAGCACCTGGCTTGTCAGTCCCCATCTCTGAGGCAGAGGCACTTGGAGCTGGTGGCTGGGTGGAGCTGGGACTGCTGGATGAATTTTTTTTTTAATATTTTTTTACTTATAGATAGACTCAATTCCTTGTTTTATTTGTTTATTTTTATGTGGTGCCAGGGATCAAAACCAGTGCCTCATGCATGCTAGGCAAGTGCTCTCCCACTGAGCGACAACCCCAGCCCTGCTGGATGACTCCTGCTGGTTGAGGGGACTCTAGAGCTGGCTGACCAGGCTAGGGACCAGGAAAGCAGAAGCTGAAGGCTCTGAGATTCTGGATGCCCCCAGCTTGTTGCCTTGCCCCTCCTTGTGCCTCAGGAGTGATCCTAGGTTGCCAGCTTGTGGCTTGGTCTGGGGACAACGGGAACCACAGGCCAGGTCTGGGCAGCTGCCTGCAGGAGAGCGGGCAGTTCCTTGCACCCTGTCCTGTCTCTCCGGACCTTGGCTTTGTGCTGTACAAAGTGCTTTCTCAGTCACCCAGCTCACAGGAACCCAGGGTGTTCCCTCAAGACCTAGAGACCGGGGTGCCTCCTTAGCTGGGAGGCCATGAGCAGGGGCGACTGGCTGGGTGGAAGCCGCAGGTGCCATCACTTTCCTGGGGACTTGGGGGTCTCACTCCAGTGCCCTCCTGGCCCGTGGTGGCAGAGTGCAGGCTGTGAAGGGGTGACAGGGGGTGGGAGGTCCCAGGAGATGGCAGAGCAGAACCCACATGGTGGGGGGATGCATCATGGGCACGTGCCTCTGGAGACCATCTCTGCACATCGAAAATCTGCTGATGTGGCCCACCAGGCTCTCAAGGCCGAGAGTTCCCACAGGTCATCAACCTTGAGGGTGAAGGGCCTGCCTTGAGCATGTGTCCAAGCTGCGGTGGAGTGTAGGGACTGCCACTGCGCCAGGCTCCTTGAGGACTACCCTGTGCCCGGCCCCCAGTGGTACCTTCTTGGCCTGAACAATGGCTGGTGCAGATGTCTCTGGTTTGAGTACAGGAGTCTGGGATCTGGCGACACGTAGGAACCCACGGTGGGGCTTGTCCTTAGGGGACATGTTGAAGAAGGGAACTGAGCTCCGTGGGGGAGGCTGGTGAACCCAGTTCCCCTGAGGAGGGGGACACCCACCCCATGCCTTCCTTGCTCAGTAGGAGCTCAAGTGTGGAAACTGACTCCACCCTTGGGCAGGACCCTTCTCAGTTCCCTCTCTGTACAGGGTAGAGCAGAGGGAGCATGAGATGTGGTAGGGGGGCCGAGGCCCTTGGCTGGCATGGGTGACACACCTTGACTCCAGGAGGGGAGGTGCCCAGGGTCCCTGCAGGTGACCCCCAGGGGTGGTCTGGAGCCCTGCCATGCCTTGCAGGGGCCAGGTCCCCATGGACTGAGCACAGCCCTGAAGAGAGTAGAGGGCAACAGGGGCCCCCGAGTGCAGGACCCTGGGGGGCCTGGGGAGGCCCCTCCATGGGTCAGCTTGGGATATGGCTTGCAGGTGGGCAGAACTGAGGTGGTCCGCAGCAGCCTGCATCCCGTGTTCTCCAAGGTCTTCACTGTTGACTACTATTTTGAGGAGGTGCAGAGACTGCGCTTTGAGGTGTATGACACCCACGGGCCCAGTGGTCTTAGCTCTCAGGATGACTTCCTGGGGGGCATGGAGTGCACCTTGGGGCAGGTGAGCAGCACCTTGGGAGGGAGGGTGTGGGAGGGTCCTGGGGGCAGTGAGGCCGTGGGTGGGCGACGGGGCAAGGTGGAGGTCCCATGGAGTGCACCCCAGTGGCTCAGGTTCTGAGGGGTGCACTTCCGTGGCTTCTCCCCTAACATGATTTCTTGTTTGAGACAGGGTCTTGTTAAGTTGCCCAGGCTGACCTGGAACCAGAGACCCTCCTGCTTTGGCCTCCAGGGTTGCTGGGATTGCAGGAGTGTGCCACCATGCCACTGGTCTTCCATATCAGTGTTTGTAGTGCAATTTTGAATGAGGTGGTACCTGGGTACATGCCACATTCAGGATATAGGAGCCATGCTGCAGATGCCCTCCTGCTCCTGCACAGCCCTGTCTGGGTCCAGACATCCTCCCAGAGCCATGTTTTCACATGAGCAGATGAATATATTAATTTTTTTTCTTTCTTTCTTTTCTTCTTCCTCTTTTCTTTTTTCTTCTTTTCTTTTTTGTGGTGCTGAGGATTGAACCCAAGACCTTGTGCATGCGAGGCAAGCACCCTACCAACTGAGCTATATCCCTAGATTTTTTTCTTTCTAAAAAATCCACGGATTGCAGACACTTTCTCTTCTGACGTAGGAGCCCTTCCTCGTCATCATATAGAGGTCTCTTCTCTGTTTGCCCAGCATGTGCAAGACCCTGGGTTTCCCCCAACACTGGGAAAAAAAAAGTTAAGAGGCCCAGTCTCCCTGTCCAGGGTGTAGCTTAGAGGAGCACTTGTCTGGCAGGCACAAGGCCCTGGGTTCAGGAAGTGTCCCTGTTCCTCCCTGTGCAGGGTGGCTGCAGCGTGGTATCCACTGCTCGCAGCCCTCTGCCCAGGCCCTCTCCTTCACCCTGTGCCACCTGTTCAAGTAACGAGCATCTTTCCTGCTGCCGCTCGGCTGTCTCGGGGCTGGGGCTTTCCACAGGCCTTGTGACTTGAGGAACAGCTTACATGTGAGACGCGAGGCCGAGGATGGCAAGTTCCCAGACCGTAGGTCCCCATCCCCTCGCAGGTCCCCCTTCCAGCTGGCCCCCTTCCAGCCGGTCCCCCTGGTTGTCTGTGCTTGGGCCTCAGGGACGTGAAGCACAGCATGTTCTTTTACCCCACATCATGTGCATCTGACTCATCCCCATGGCTGCCTGGGCTGGAGCTGGTTTTCGTTAGCTGCTTCTGCTGACCCTGTTGTGCGGCAGCAGGGCTGACATGTGGGGAGGACCCAACCCCAGGGGCTGCAGAGTGAAGCTGCCCCACCTGCCTGCCAGCCTGGCGCGTACGGCACACATGCACACAGGCCCCACCCGGACCCCTGCAGTGCAGGACACGCCTCTCAGTCCCAGGTGGGCAGCTCACACATGGACGCAGACCGGGCACGTGTGTGGGCACACGCTCGAGGACTTCCTGCTCTGTGGCCAGGCTAGCTGTCTTGCCAAGGGCAGGGTCAGCCCTCTTTTCTGGGAGGCCATGAGCAGGGGCGACTGGCTGGGTGGAAGCCGCAGGTGCCATCACTTTCCTGGGGACTTGGGGGTCTCAACTCCAGTGCCCTCCTGGCCCGTGGTGGCAGAGTGCAGACCCAGCCCAGGGGGCTGCAGAGTGGAGCTGGTTTTCGTTAGCTGCTTCTGCCGACCCTGTTGTGCAGCAGCGGGGCTGACATGTGGGGAGGACATGCCAGTTGCCCACATCCAGGGAGTGGCAGGCATGGGCTCAGGACACTCCTGGAGGGAAGGGTGTGCCCCCGGCAGTCCTGAGCCCCCTCAACAGCGGTTGTTGCCCTTCTCATCAACGGGCAGGATGGACCCAGAGGACCCACCCGCTCTCCCAGGGCCCTGCTTCCCACTGGGCAGGTGGCCCCCGTCCTGTGAGCTTACCTGTGTCAACTTCACCCGCCCTGCTGGGCTCAGCCCATGGGAGAGCTGCCAGCAGTGCATGGTGGGTGACGCCCACCCAGGGCTCGGCCTAGCTGAGCAGTCGCCCTTGCTGGACACGCACCTTTGTCAAAAGCCAGGGTGTGCCACCCTGGGGCTGGTGCTACCCTGACTTGCTGGAACAGTTGGTGTCCAGGAGGGGCCCACAGCCATTAAAACTTCCTTGCCCCATGGGTCCTCACCTGGTCCTCACCTGCCCCAAGGGTCCTCACCTGGTCCTCACCTGGTCCTCACTTGCCCTGTGGGTCCTTACCTGGTCCTCACCTGGTCCTCACCTGGTCCTCACTTGCCCCGTGGGTACTCACCTGGTCCTCACCTACCCTGTGGGTCCTCACCTGGTCCTCACCTAGTCCTCACCTGCCCTGTGGGTCCTTACCTGGTCCTCACCTGGTCCTCACCTGGTCCTCACTTGCCCCGTGGGTACTCACCTGGTCCTCACCTGCCCTGTGGGTCCTCACCTGGTCCTCACCTAGTCTTCACTTGCCCCGTGGGTACTCACCTAGTCCTCACCTGCCCTGTGGGTCCTTACCTGGTCCTCACCTGGTCCTCACCTAGTCCTCACTTGCCCCGTGGGTACTCACCTGGTCCTCACCTGCCCTGTGGGTCCTCACCTGGTCCTCACCTGGTCCTCACCTAGTCCTCACTTGCCCTGTGGGTACTCACCTGGTCCTCACCTGCCCTGTGGGTCCTCACCTGGTCCTCACCTGGTCCTCACCTGCCCTGCAGGTCCTCACTTCAGGTGTGTCGGCAGCCGTTTGCCTGGCCCCGGCCTGAGGGCTGGAGGCGCTGAGGTGTGGACCTGTTTCTGCTTCCTGTTTTCCTGTGCAGGAGCCCTATGGTGGCCTCGCCTCTGAGCCTGGGTCCCCCTCTGTGTAAAGCCGAGTGCCTCCCTCACATGGGCAGTCCTGGAGGTGCTGGAGCAGGAGGTGGCATGCAGAGGGTGTTGGTGGCCCTGGGTCCTGAGAGCCCCAGAAGGCCCAGGCCAGGGAGCAGGCGGGAGAGGGAGAGGAGCAGAAGGCCAAGGTCCCTGAGGCTCGGGGCTGTGCTCTGCCATCCCGTCCCTGCCTTTTCTGTCCAGATTGTGGCCCAGAAGAAGATGACCCGCCCGCTGCTGCTGAAGCTCGGCAGGACTGCCGGCAAGTCCTCCATCACTGTAAGACCCACCTCGGGGCCTTCCTCCCTCTGTAGCTCTGGGGCTGGGTGGGGGCAGGGGAGCAGGCCAGGTCTGGGAAGCCTGGACCTGCAGGAGGCCTGCAGCCCAGCGGGGTCTCTCCCCCAGGTGGTGGCCGAGGACATCTCCGGAAACAATGGTTATGTGGAGCTCTCCTTCCAGGCCAGGAAGTTGGACGACAAGGTGAGGTGGGCGCCCATGGCGCGTCCAGCTCCACGTCCTCCGCAGGGGCTCTGCACCAGCCATGGCCACTTCCTTAGCAGAGACACTCATGACCCCACTTAATGATGGGGACACAGGCTGGAGGCCCCCAAGGCCATGCCTTGGAGGTGGAGGAACTGGATTTGAGCCTGGCCTGCTGGCCGTCAGCGGGTGGGAGGGCACCCTGGGCACTCAGAGTGGGGACCAGCCCTGGGAAGGTGTCCCAACGCCGCTCTGGAGGTGTCAGAACTGAGACTGAAGTGGGGAGGGTCTGGCAGGAGTGGGGACATCGGGTAGACACCAGGAGCAGGAGAGGAGGGCAGGGCCCGGCTGGAGCCAGGGTCCTGTGGGCACGCTGGGGCACTTATGAGGGCTCCAGGGGCCAGGTCCCCGTCACCCCAGAGCTCCTCACCTGGTGCCTGGGGAAGTGACTGAGCCCACCGCCTGGCCCCTTGCCATGAACCCTCTGCTGCCCCAGGACCTCTTCAGCAAGTCCGACCCCTTCCTGGAGCTGTTCCGCATCAACAGGGACGGCAGCGAGCAGCTGGTGTACAGGACAGAGGTGAGGCTCTCGCCCACCCTGCACTCCGGCCGGCTGGTCCCCCGGGCGCTTCCTGGCAGGCGTGAATGGCAGGAGGAGGACTGGCCACCCACTCCCCCCAGCCCTGGCTGTGGACTCTGCTCCCAGCACCTGGCCCTGCTCTGGGGAGCTGCAGGGTGGGCCGGCGGACTCGGCAGAGCCCCGCAGGGGTTGTTTTGGCTGTGGTTATTTTTAGGGCTACCTCCCCTTCCTGCAGGGAGACGGTGGTGACAGCAGGGAGGGAGGGTTTCCTGTAGAGATAAATTGAGTAAAAAAAAAATCTATTTCAGGCAAAAAAAAGGGTCCAGTGGTCCAGTGAGTAGTGGAACCTCTGAGGGAGGTTCCCAGGAGGGGCACCTGGTCCTGGGCCCGTGGGGCCGGGTGGAGGCAGGCCAGCCTCCTGGACCCCAGGGTTCTGGGTGAGGAGCCCAGATTCCTGGGAGCCTCAGGGAGTCCCTATTGCCCCAGGACCCCAGAGCCTCCCGGGTTGTGGCCCCTGGCTCTGCCCCCGCCAACCCCTCCCGATGCCTAGGTGGTGAAGAACAACCTCAGCCCTGTGTGGGAGCCCTTCAAGGTGTCCCTCAACTCTCTGTGCAGCTGCGAGGAGACCCGGCCTCTGAAGGTAGGGAAGGGGCAGGGACAGAAATGGGACGGGCCAAGATGGGCCAGGGTGGTAGAGAGGCCAGTCCCCCCAAAACATACTGGGCTTCTTGGAGTTAGAGTTCCTGGGAAACCAGGGACAGGGGAGGCGGTGGGGGTGGCCGGCTTTAGGGGGAGGGGTCCCTGGGCCCCCAGAGGGGCAGGCGGGCTGACGGGCCTGTGCCCCCAGGGCCTGGTCTGGGATCACGACTCCCGAGGGAGGCACGACTTCATCGGAGAATTCTCCACCACCTTCGCTGAGATGCAGAAGGCCTTCTCGGAAGGCCGGGTGAGCCTGCCTTGGGGTCCCCGCTCGCGGCCTGGCCATCCTGGTGGTGGCTGGGAGCAGCAGCAGCTACTGTCACAACCCTGGGAAGACTAGTGCTGGTGGCAAGCCAGAGATGCCATTGTGCCCAGAGCCCAGGGGCGCTGGGGTGACAGTTGGAACAGCCCTGCCAGAGGCCACCCAGGGCCAGGCATGGCGGTGGGCATGCAGGCGTGTGCACCTGTGTCCACTCAGTGGAAGGGCACACCTGAAGCTGGGGTGGCAGGAACGCCTGCTGGTGTGGGCCCAGTGTCCCTACGGGAGGTCTGCAGGCTCCAGAGGTGGCCCTCTCCCCAGGTGACAGGGCCATGCTGTGGTAACCCGGCTCCCCCTTGCCCTATTCTGGGCCATGGGGTCCCGATCCATGCTGTTGTGCCCCATTCAGCAGATGGGTCCCTGTAGGGTGGCTGCTCCTGCCCTCCACACACGGCTTGGCCCTTGAGGTCACTGCTGGGGACAGTCATGAGGACAGGTCGCTGGCAAGGCAGAGGCTTCGGCATCCGCCAGCCCCAGGGAGAGGGTGATGGACATTGCCGCCTGGCATCCCGCACGTCCCTGTGCCCAGGCCCAGTGGGAATGTGTCAACGCCAAGTACAAGCAGAGGAAGCGCAGCTACAGGAACTCCGGGGTGGTGGTCCTGGCTGGCCTGAAGGTAGGCGCCCTGCCTGGAGCTCTGTCCCGGGTGGTGGACCCTGGGGTGCCCTCCCAGGGGTCTCATGTCCTCCCTGGAGGAGGGGCAGAGCCAGGGCAGAGGGGGGAGGAGACAAGGCCGGGGTCCTCAGGGGAGGGCAGGCTCCCCAGGGCTGCCACATGGGCCTGGGGGGGCAGCCCTGGGGGGGCCCTGCTGACGCCCCTGCCTGGAAGCTCCACAGGGTCCACTCCTTCCTGGACTACATCATGGGCGGCTGTCAGATCCACTGCACGGTGAGTCTGGCCAGGCTGCTACACACCCAGAGCCCAGGCCACCTGGGCAGGACCCCAGTCGGCCCCCAGGGCCCTGCAGCAGAGGGTGGGCACACAGAAACCAGTCCAGGGTCACCCTCAGAGGTGACACGGTCAGGACTTGCCTGCTCCTAGGGAGACGACCTTGGAGAGTGAGCACATGACGTGGGACCACCATGCCCATGTGGCCCTGGGCAGGCAGTGGGTGGGCAATGGGAGACAGCAAGCCCCGGGAGGCCCTGAGGGGGCCCCAGTGGGAGGCACAAGGGTGACCAGGGCAGGGGTGGTCTCCGTGGAGGGAGGGGGGGAGTGAGTGCCCGCCAGCGGGAGCTCAGCTCTGCTGGGGTCATGCTGGGGCATCGGGGGACCCCTCCCTGCCCTGTGCACCTGCCTGCAGAGGCTGGAGGACGGCATCTTGGGGCAGTAGCCCCAGCTTCCTCCTTGAACCAGTCCCCTACCCAAACCTGGGCTTGGTCCCCTGCCTGCCTGGTGGAGGGCGGGCCAGTGCTGCACACCTCCCTGGCCCTTGCAGGTAGCCATTGACTTCACAGCCTCCAACGGCGACCCCCGGAACAGCTGCTCCCTGCACCACATCGACCCCCGCCAGCCCAACGAGTACCTGAGGGCGCTGGTGGCCGTGGGCGAAGTCTGCCAGGACTACGACAGGTGTGGCCCCGCCCCTGGGCGGCTACTAGCCGGGGAGCCTGTCCAGGAAGGGCCAGGAGCACCTCTGTGGCAGCCCACAGGGGGCATACCCTGCACCTGGACGCCAGCCTGACCATCTGGCCGTCGGACTGGGGTGGTCAGGAGCTAGGCACAGAGGCCTGGCTGGTGCCTTTGGTGTCCCCAGGGGTTGGGACCACGGAGGTAGGGCTCACTCCAGGGCCCCCCTGGGAGGGACCAAGCACAAACCCAGAGGGCTGGACGTCATGCCCATGTCATGGCTGCCTGCCAGGAGCCCTCCCTCTGGGTGGAGAATGGAGGGGTGTGTGGCCAGAGTGTGCCCTGGTCCTGTGGACGCCAGGGTCCTGTGGACGGACAGTGCCCTGTGTCAGAGCCCTGCAGGCTGGGGGCAGCAGGGCCATCCTGGCCAGCTCCGCCCTCCTGCCTGTGCACACGTGCCTCCGTTGCTCTCTAGTGGCCTGAGTGCCACCTCTAGGCCTGGGCCCACAGGACCCTGGGCTCTTGGGCTCTGATCAGCATCTGCTCCTGCGAGGAGCGGGGCCCTCGTGATGGACGCTGCCTTTCTTCCAGTGACAAGAGGTTTTCTGCTTTGGGGTTTGGAGCCAGAATCCCTCCCAAGTATGAGGTAGGAGACCAGGCTGGGGCCTGGACGCCACCACACCTGTCACCTGGGTCTCTTGTAACCCCACTCGGCTAGACAGAGGGCATGGAGGTGCCTTCCTGCCAGAGAGGGTGACCTTTGACCTCCTAGGACGCAGGGTGCGGGCTGGAGATGAGCTCCTGCTTCCCATCAGAAAGATGCAACCACATGGTGGTTGACAAACGGGAAGCTTCGGGAACTGCTGGGTGTGGTCGAGGCCATAGCCCAGGCCCCACTTGGCCTCCTTCCCTAGAGGTCTCTCTGCATGGGGCAGGCTAGTTGTCGTGAGCCATGTGGGTCCTGGGAGGGCATCAGCCACTGGCCCCTCTTGCCCCACCCAGGTGTCCCATGACTTTGCCATCAATTTCAATCCCGAGGACGATGAGTGTGAAGGTAGGAGCGGGCAGTGGGCCTGGGGCGGGGTGGGGTGGGCCCGGCTCAGCTGCTGTCCCCACAGGCATCCAGGGCGTGGTGGAGGCCTACCAGAACTGCCTGCCCCAGGTCCAGCTCTACGGCCCCACCAACGTGGCGCCTATCATCTCCAAGGTGGCCCGCATGGCGGCGGTTGAGGAGCGCACGGGCGAGGCCTCTGTAGGTGCCTGGGTGTGGGCTGGGGTGCCAGGTGGAGGGTTGGCGCTGCGTGTGGAGGGGGCTCCGGCCCTGGGAGGCAGCCGGCAGACATCTGGGACAGGCAGCACCAGTGCAAAGACCCTGGGGCAGGACGGAGGGGTGGGTGGACAGGTGCCTCAGGGTCGGTTTTTATCATCTCGCGGTTGGCCCTGGGCTTCCTGTGTCCTGCAATAACACACAGGCGGTCAGGGCTGCTTATGGGTTCCTGGTACATATGACGTGCTCCTGAGACTGCATTCTGCACTTTGTGTGCTGCTGGGGACGCTGCCTCTTGCCTGTTCTTTCCTTCACCTCTGCTCACCTTTGAAAAGACGTCAGCTTTACAGGAGTGACGTGCCACCGCAGCCATCCCTGTCTGCACGCTGGCCCGTCTGCCCCCCACCCTCGTGCTTTTGTTAGTTTTGTTTTTTCAAGTTACATTGAGACCGTGCTAAAGTATACAGCGTGCAGGCCTCAGGACAGTGGGGGTCCAGCAGGGGCCAGGAGAGGCTCCCCTCTCGGGCTCCAGAGGGAAACTCAGAAGTTTGTTTGCATATTTTCATGTTTTAGTTTTTGCACCAGCATCAGAGCCTGCAGGGTGCACTCTGTGGTTCTGTGCTCACACCCAGCCACACACCCCCACCTCCTCTCTTTTATTATGGAACCTGTGATCCTCCTGCCTCGGCCTCCCAGGTAGCTGGGATCACAGGCCTGGCCACCACACCAGGTGCACGGTGCGTTTAACCTCAGTACCACACACACTACGCAGTGGGCACTGCACCGTCCCCACGTGCCGCGTGATGTGGTTGGTCTCCTCCCCTCAGACTTTGCTGACTGACAGCCCTGGCTAAGGATCTGGCGGGGATGCTGTTGCTCTCAGGGGTCGGGTGATGCTGTGAAGCAGTGCTAGACACACATTCCACCTGTGGGCCTCTCATGGCCTCTACAGAGACTAGGCCCCAGCCCAACCCGTGGTGTCCCCGGCTTAGACACCAGCCCGCGTGTGTGGCCTCACTCTTGTTCTCAAGTCATGACACTTCCCACCAAGAAATGGGTCGCCATGAGATGTCACGAGATTAGTCTTTAATTCTCCTTTCCTGTGTGAGACCGGCAGGGGTGACGGTGCCAGGGGTGCCCAAAGTTGGCAGAGGGAGCGCTGGAGACCATGCGGGCGCTGACCTGGTCTGGGTGGGCCAGGTGGGCTTTGAGCAGGGCTGTGGTACATGGAGGCCAGGAGCAGGGCTGGGGTTGCTCTGAGGCACGCTGGCTCTAGAGGGGGTGGCAGGAGATGGCTGGAGAAAGGGAAGTCCCTGCTTCCTCTGAGGCTGGTCGGGCCTGTGGCCTGTCCATCCTTTGTTCCCTGGATAGTACCACTGCTGGGTGTCCACTGGGCTGGAGGCAGAGGTGTGAGGGAGACGGCCCAGCCTTCAGGGCTCGAGCTCTGGGACCCCCCTTCTCTTTAGTGAGACTGTGGGGTGGCCTTGGCTATCACTGGAAAGTGGGCTTCTCTGCAAAGGGTCCTGCTGCCTCCCGCAGCCGGGACTGCAGTGGACCCTGCTCACGCGGGGCCCCTCCTCCTCTGGATCACAGCCTGGCAGTCATGTCAGGTGGACTTTGCAGTGCCCGTCCAGAGCCACAGGTGGGACGGTGACAGGGAGCCCGGGGGAGCTGGAGGAGGGTAACTGCAGAGACCCCTGAGTGTGCCATCATGGTGAGCCATGCTGCTTCAACAAACGCACGGCAGAGCCGTCCTAAAGCTGCTGAGCCAAGTTCTGGCCAATCCAGGTGGGGGCACAGCTGGCGGTGGGCGAGGGCCCTGGGTGCTGCCCCACCCCTTTCCTGTGTCCGCAGCAATACTACATCCTGCTGATCCTGACGGACGGCGTGGTGACCGACATGGCGGACACGCGGGAGGCCATTGTGCGCGCCTCGCACCTTCCCATGTCCATCATCATCGTGGGCGTGGGCAACGCCGACTTCACCGACATGCAGACTCTGGACGGGGAGGACGGCGTCCTACGCTCCCCTCGGGGCGAGCCGGCGCTCCGGGACATCGTGCAGTTCCTGCCCTTCAGGGAGCTCAGGAGCGTGAGTGCAGGGCCCCGGGCAGGCCACCCGAGCCTGGCCAGCGAGGACCTGGCGCGCCCCAGCTGGGGCCCGGGAGGGAGCCTAAGGCTTGGTTGCAGGAACTCCGTCTGTATAGAAGCAGAGGGAGCAGCTTCCCCCTGCCCTGCACCTCCTGGGACACAGAGGGCTCCCCACCCCGGGCATTCCTCAGGGAGCGTGGGCGGCGCCCGCCCAGCAGCCCCTCTACCTCCTGCCCCAGCCCCTGGGGGAGGCGGGTGCAGGTGGCCCTCAGAGCTCTGGGGGGTTGTGGACTCACACTCTCGATTTTCAGTCTGTGTCCTTAGGAGAAGCTCAGCAGGCACCAGGCCTAGGTCAGCTCCCTGCTGGTCCCTTAGACCACTTTGAGAGTTGGGGCTGTGACCAGGTGGGGGACAAGGATCTCAAAGGGCTCAAGTGCACCTGCCTTCCCCACCCTAGGCCTCCCCCGCGGCATTGGCCAAGTGTGTGCTGGCCGAGGTCCCCAAGCAGATGGTGGAGTACTACAGCCACAAGGAGCTGCCTCCACGTGGCTTTTGCAGCCTCCCTGGAGAGGCCAGTCCCCGCTCGTCTCCTGAGGACTCCAGGCACGGGGACTGTGACCAGGGTGCCCCCACGGCCTCTGTTTCCAGCACCTTTGGGGGTCCTTAAGCCCCTGAGGCCCCCAGAAGCCTCCTGCTCCCAGCCCAGGCTTGTCCCCTCCTGTCGTCCTATTGGCCTGGGAGGGCGGGAGATGAAGGGATCCAGGCCCTTTGGGGGGCACCCAGAAGCAGCAGCCCCCATGCCTATCCCTGCTGGAGCCAGGGGTTGCTGAGCGTAGGACAGGCCTGGCAGGCCCTCCTCGCCGGGGCTCCTCAGCGTCTGCTTGTTGAGGGCAGCTGTCCTGAGCACCCGACACCCTCCTGGGCAGACCCCTCTCTGCCCTGGCAGGACCCCTCCGCCTGCCCCTGCTGCCATCCTGAGCATCCTGTCCACATCCCAGGGCCTTGGGGGTCTGAGTGAGCGTCGGGTCTAATAAAGCCCCACCTGGCCTCTGTGACCTGCGAGGACGGCTGAGCTGTCTGTGTCACAAATTCAAAGAATGAAATCCGGGGGCAGGAGTGTCAGAAAGAAACAGGTTTGTGGAGGAGTAGGAAGACAGCAGGCCAGCTTGTCCCCTGGTAGGACTCCCAGCCTCCTGAGCCTCCTCGCAGCCGAGGCCGGGCGACCTTGCGCCTCCCGGGCTCCGTCGACAGCATGGAGTGAGGTTGAGTGGGCTCTCGGCCTCACGGATTTGATGAAAGAAACCCACAGGGCAAGAAAACAAGCAGAGCTCCCGAAGGAGACAGGCCCCGGGAGGGGTGCCCGCGGCTCTGCTCTCTGGGGCTGCAGTGCCCAACTGTCCCCAGGTGGTGGTGAGGTCGGATCCAGAGAGCCTCCCATGGGCACTGCTCTGCCCACTCTAGCAAATTTGGAGAAAAGTGGCCTCTGAGCCTCACGTGGCTCAAGGTTGGGGGTGGGGGCTGATGGCACAGGAGGAAGTGCCTTTTGGGGTTGGTCGTGTCTAGAGGCTGTTAAGGAACCGTCCTTGTGGCTAGGACAGCTGGGGTCAGGGGACGTCCTGGTCCTCTCCTCCTCTTCTCTGAGACCCTCTCCTGGCTGCCTGTGGCCATCTGAAAACCTCATTCCAAGGAGGATCTGGCCCTGGGAGAGGCAGACCTGGCCTGGGCTCCTCCAGGCCCAGGGCACCAGCCACCCACAGCAGGAGGCCCGCAGCCAGGGTCGCTCCTGCCCCCTGGTGACTGCAGCCTGAGCAGTGCTTCCCGCCCAGGACCAGAGCGGTCAGCGGGTTCCAACTGAGATCCCTCTGCATTACCTTGTCTGAGAAAACCCTGAATCCGCCCCCATCCACCCATCCCTCACCCGTCCACCCCCATCCCCCACCCCCTCCGACCCCTCCCTCCCTCTAGGCTGAGTCCTGATTCGTCTCCTGCGAAGCAGGGATAATAGGCATCACCATGGTAACCTGGCTACAAGTCAGACTGCTGAAGTTGGTCTGTGTGTGGAGGGGGAACATGGGGGCACACAGCACACCAGGGAAATGCACCCTGTGTCCATTTCTCAGGCCAGAGGTTCTCCACCAGGGGTAGGTCGTGGGTCCAGACCTGAGGCAGGTGTCAGCCCAGCTCTGATCTGGTCCCCACAGGTTCAGTGGCAGGAAGCCTGGGCCTTCCTGGCGTCCGCTCAGGTGCTGCTGAGGGCCCTCAGTGAGTGGGGTCCCAGAAGGCAGCGACTGCCCAGAGTGGGTACTGAGGCGGGCAGAGCCAGCGACCCAGGAGGCTGAGGCAGTATGGCCCCTCATCCAGGGAGCCTGGGCCGCTCAGCAAGAACCTGTCTCATAATTTATAAAAGAAAAAAAAAATCCCTAAAAGGACCAGGCTTTCGCTTGGTGGTGGTACGTCGGCCTCACAGGCAATGTGGGGTTCAATCCCCCCAGCACCGGGGGGAAATCTCCATGGAGTGACCTACCTGAGGTCACACAGCGAGGTAGGGGCAGACACAGGACCCCGGCTCTGTGAGTCCTGGCTCCACACCTGCATTGTGTCAGGGATGTGCCCTGGCTGGGTCTGTTGTAGGGACGGACGAGGCGGGGCACGAAAGACAGCACGAGACAGTTTTCTTTGGCTGCAGCCAGGTTCAGAGGCCACAGCTTTTGCTGGGATCAATCAACCCCCTGAACCCCGAGTTCAGGGAGTTAGAGTTTTACACCCAGCGTCTCAGGGGAGGGGCTCAGCTCATCTGCAGAAGTTCACACAAAGCAGCTTTTGCTGTCCCTGTTCTGGGCAAGTTAGCCCTCAAGGACAGCGACTGAGAAGGGGGGCTGCTTCTCCCCTTCCCTCCCCGGCCAGCTCTTACCACGGAGCCCAGTTGTACCTTCTCTGATCTTAGAAATGTAGACACCTCTGTGAAGCCCAGCTCAAGGCCAGAGGCCTTGTTAAAGGATCTGTCTTTTTATTATCACATTTTGCATTTGCAAACACACTTTAAAAACTACTGTACTGGATAAATGTTTGCGGAAAACTAGTAAAGGGGCGTCCAGCACCTGGAGTGCCGATCTCTTCCAGGCCAGTGGCCAAGTTATAGAGCAACAGGAAATTCACCTGCCTTGAACTCTGTTGTAGAGACTCTTTTGCTGATAGTCCTAAAATCAATCCTGGTAAAGATTTCTGGAGAAGCTGAGTTAAGACTTTTGGTGGAGGACGGGGCCACCACAGGTCCAGAGGCGCTCCCAGGCTGGGCGGCCGGGTCAGAAAGCCTCCACTGGGCAGGAGCCTGCAGTGGAACCCATGTCCCCAGTTGCCAGGTGGAGCTCCCAACCACCTGGAGCCTGGCTGTGGCTCATGGTGTGGCTCCAAGGTGTGGGTGTTCCAGGGAAGCAGAGCTGGAAAGGGTGGAGGGCCCAGGACCCCCACAAGCCCCAGGACTCCCTTCCAGCATGCTGAGGAGCCCCCTTCTTGGGGCCTGGGCCTGGCACCGGGAAGAGTCTGGAGGTGCCTGGCAGCTAGGCGGGACACCTGGCTGAGCCCCCCACACCTGCTTCCCTGGGCAAGCCCCAAGGGAGTCCAAGCCCTGGTCCCAGGCGCCAGGGCCAGGGTACTTTGGCAGCCCTGCCTCTGTCAGATCTGGATGGACGTGGGCTCTACAGTGACTCCCAAGGCTCCACGGTAAGGACACGGGGCTGCTGCCTCCTGCCGGAGACACTGGCCCTGGCTCGCGCTGCATATGAGGAGGCCCGGGCAGTCCAGTGCCCAGCAGCACCTGGAGTGAGGCCGGCCGGCCAGACCGGGGCCTCCAGTGGCTCCTGCATCCCGGCAGAGCCTGTGGTAGAGACGGAGCCAGCTGACACCACACCCTGAGAGATCCGAAGCCAGAGCCACAAGGCCATCCCTCTGGTCCCCGCCCTGCAGACCTGGCTGGGTAGGCCGGCCACCACGTTCCCAGCCTGTGACACAACCCAGGAGGCTGGAGCCGCCCAGGAGTCTGCTTGCACGGTGCCTGAGTTGGTGCCCACACCAGTGTGTGGCCACTGTTTCCTAAAAGTACAGCCAGCCGGACGAGCTCCATCTTTTTATTTTAGACATGCCTCCCACCCCGCCCGCCGCGCTGGGCCTCTGAGGCTGGGAACACAGGGTCAGTCCCCCCCTGCAGGCTCCTCGCCCGGCTGTTCTTTCTCCTGCTGCCAGAGGAAGTGCAGGCAGGAGACTGTGACTAAGTGCTGGTAATTGGTGCGGGGGCCGCGCAGGGCTGTCAGACACAGCGACAGCCAGCGGCCCTGGCACAGACGGCGGTGGACCTTCCCTCCCCACCCACCCCCGCCTGTCCCCGAGCTGATGCCCTGCCCCAGGGTGTGGGCACCCAGGACCATTGCTGCCCAGGCACTGGCCCTCCCCTTGTCCTCCCCAGTGGAGAGCTAGACAGCTGCCCCACCCCCACCCCATGTGTGGAGTGTTTTCCTCCTTTCTGGCACTGGCCGAGCTTGGCTCGGACACCACGTGGTTGGAGTCACACCGACCCTGGTGGCAGCTCGTGGTGACTGCGTCCCACAGAAAAGGGGACGGAGCTCAGAGAGATCAAGGCACTGGGCCCAGGGTCATGAGCTGTGTGTGTGCACGCACGCCTGTGGGGAGGGGTTGGAGGAGGCCCTCGTCCTCCAGGGTCTCGCTGAACCCTCTCTGCAAACCCCAGGTCACACTTGGGTCCAGCCACTGTGTGGGGCTTCACCCTCTCACAGGCAGTTGGCACCCAGGACTCAAGTGACATGCAGGGCCTGGACCGTCCTCACTGGGACAGGCACAGCATTGCCCCCAGGGTCCAAGGATCCCTGGGGCTGGGGACCCAGTTCAGGAGGCTACTCCCCTCGTGGCCAGGGGAAAGCTGGGCTTTGGGTCAGGTGCAGGGTCCTTGTCCTTGGGCAGCCACCAACCCTGGAATTTCCCACTTATGGCATGGAGAGCCTCCGCAGGGGGAAGGCATCCCGGGGGTGCGCTCCCCTTGGAGACAGAGGCCACCGATGGCTGTGTTGAAGCTGTGGTGTCGACGGCTGGCTGGGCGGGGGTGTGGGGATCGAGGTGTGTGTGTCTCTGTTAGGATGAGGTCCTGGGGACCACCGTCCCCACCTGTTGCCCCCCATGGCTGCCTGACACTGCTCAGGCTCCTGGACCAGCAGAGGACACTTGGACCTCCCATGCCCTCTGGTGCCGGCCACCACACTCCACGCAGTTCATGGCCAGCCAGGCCTGCAGCACCGCTTCCTGCAACATTCAGGCCTCCCATGAGAATGTCCATGGCCCTGGCCCTAGGGAAGGGAGACTGCACTGGGTCCCTCCAAAGCCTCTCTCTCAGCCGTGCCCCAGCCCGACCAGGACGCCTCGGGCTGATCACCCAGCACTGCCCACCCTCCTGGGCCCAGCTTCTGGCCTCCCTGCAGGAAGTGGGAACTGGCTCCGGTGGGGCTGACAGCACCGCCCAGCGTGTCGGTGGCCAGTGCCTGAGACCCGCAGCAGGACCAGCGACGGTGCCACGCGCCAGCTCCGAGGATGAACTCCAGGACAGGGCAGGGGAGGGACGGTTCCGTCCGGGTTTGGTCAGGAGAGGTGGACATCCAGCTTGACAGACGTGGCCATTTGCTGACCCCCTGGGATCACGTTCTTCAGCCTGTGACAGTTACCTCTGAAGAAGGGTCTTCTCTGTCGGCTCCTGCCCTGGGTCCCTGCCTCCCACCCGACTCCTCTCACACTGGACATGGACCCTGCTCCTGTGTCCCCTCAGCTGGACAGGGACCTGTGTTGTGGTGGCACCCGTCCTCCACAGAAAACCTTAACTAACCTTCTCCAGAAACCTGCACCATGATCGATCTTCGGACTAAAGCAAAAGAACCTCTACAAAGGAGTCCAGTGTAGTAGTGGAGCCTCCGTTTCCTCTTGCTCTGTCTTACAATAATCAGATCTGGTCACGGGCCTGAGAGAGATGGGCACTCCGGTGCTGAACACCCCTTTGCTAG